TATTTACCGAAAAAAGAAATTCAAATTGAGACATGCGAAATTCTTATTTTATATCGAAATAATTAAACAAAACATCACAAATTTAGGAATTCAATTGTTTGAGATAGTTTGATTTTGGTAAGTTTGTTTTTTGAAATAATATGCAAAATGAGCATAGTGAATATCACAGGACAATTATCTTGAGAACGAAGATGATGGTATAGCTAAAGAATAGATACACATACACTCATACTTATCTTTTCACATTGAGTCTCCTCACTTATGTTGACGTTTAGCATTCAAGACAAACTTTTGATGGACTCTGATTTGATTTAAGAAATTGTATAGATTCAACAGTGGAATAGTTTCTTCTATATGTGTACCCACCATGAACTAAAGTTTGTGTAAAGATCTGCGATTTTTATAAGAATTTATTTTAAATAATTAAATTATTATAAACTAAACCCGTCACAGATGCAGATTGTTAGGACGTGGTTACTTTATTTCATCCACATCTTCAGTCTCAACCTCAAATTCACTCATTTTAGTTGATAACCATCTGAAATAGTTATCATTTAAAATAACTTGTTGTAGATAGAATCGACTGTTTTCCGGTTATAAATTTCTTTCGATTGAAATAACATACATTTATGCTGCATCTGAATCTGAATATACCGAATCAAAATGCTTCGGTTTATTGAATGATTACCGATAGTTCGGTTACCACTGAATAAACTAATTTCAAAATCAAGTTTTATTAGCTTTTTTGTATTAAAAAAACCTGTTTTTTCATGAATGTTACGATAAGTGAAGTGGTGTGGGTGTTGGTTTGCATATTATGTTCATCACACCACACCCACCCAATACCTGAGAACTTTAACTGATAGTTGGATAACCATATTATGGCTCTCCAAGCTTCAGACATTCAGTAAATGAACTCAGCTTCCAAATTTGACATATGTGAACGTTAAATACAAAAATCGCTTTCGTTAATATTACGGTTGTTCACTTTCATTGATAATTAATGCTGATGACATAATACCATCTGATGAGTCATGATAGCGTACTAATGATACATTCTCCATATTTATTGACTTAGTCACACCTTTTTTTTACGTAGTAACTTATTCCAAAGAAAAAATCGTTTCAATGATGTAAAAGGAAAGAGGAACATGTTATTGACAGAACAGTCATCACATGCATCACTTTCTTCAGCAATGATATTATGAGGAGAACAGAGCAAAAACTTATTATTATGGTTGGAAAAAACCAAGTAAACAATTTTTTGTTGATTATCTCCTTTAACTTAAAAAAAGTGTATCAATATGTGTGAATTTAGCGTGCAACTTCGTTTCATCATTTTTATCGATACACTGAATTCGATGATAAGCGACAAAGTGTTCAATTGTTTTTCTAAGATCCAATTCAAGGAGAATTTCTTAAAATCATTGCTGTGAAAAAGAACAACTCAATTATCAGTAATAATACTATTCGAACCTATTTGGATATATATTTAACGAAGCAACATAATATTTATATATGCATGTTGACGCCATAAAAGCGAAAAGAAATGGATAAGAAAAATATACATATTTGCCGAACGTAACTGATTTATTCTGTCGTCATATTTAATAGAATTTTGATTAAAATATCATTCCGATTCTCATACTTTCTAATGTAAGAAATATTTATTTTCACCTTTTAGCACATTGACGTTCTGTCTTCGTCGTCATGTGAAGGTGATTCATTTTTTTTCTTTGTACGACGAGAAACAGGTAAGAACGATCGTGCTTGACTAGCCATTAATGCATATTGACGCATAACACATTATTTATGGATGTTTAGTTTCAAAATGGCTGCCTCTTCCGAACAGACTAAAACTCGTCCGATTGATAATTTACAATTACAAGAGGTTTTTGATATCGTAAAATCTACTGAGAATCATGATATTGGATTGATCTGGTTTGATGAATGTGTTGACGATGAACTCAAACAAACCATCGAACAGTTAAATGGACATGTTATCATTTGCGTTAATAAAGATATATTTCTTGATTCAATCGATCGTATTCAAAATGAAACGATGATCGTTATTATTGCCGGTAAACTAGCTGTAGATGTATTATCAATCATTCATGATAATCCCAATATTGATTCAATATATCTTTTTTGCATAAACAAAATACAATATCTTACTCTTCGTAATTCTTACTCAAAGATAGTTGGAATTTATACAGAATATGATCCATTATTAGATTCGATCAAAAATAAAATAAAATCACTTATCCAACAATTAGTCACATTTAGTTTATTTCGTCAAACGGAAAAATCCATCCGTGATTTATCTCGTGAATCAGGCAGTTTTTTGTGGCATCAATTAGCCAAAGAATACCTGATGAATATGAGTACAAGCAAAACCGAAGCTGCAAAACAAGAAATGCTTGATCTATGTCGAGTATATTATCAATCAAATCAATCTTATCTTAAAAAAATTGACGAATTTGAGCAAACATACCAACCTACTGATGCATTAAAATGGTATACAAAAGACACATTTCTATTCCGCCTATTGAATAAATCATTAAGATGTGAAGATATTGAGTTACTTTATTCATTTCGATACTATCTTGTTGATCTTTGCACCTGTTTACGAACAGAATATGATTCTCTCAAAGATGATCTTCCATCTGTCGTTATTACACTATACCGCGGACAAACCTTGACCGACCATGAAATTAACAAACTGAAAGCGAATGTTAATCAGTTGATAGCAACCAATGGTTTTTTGTCAACCAGTTGGTCACCGGACGTTGCGCGAGTTTTTTCCACCAATGTTCTCTATGAAATCAATATTGATTTATCGCAAGATTCAACTGAAATTATTCGATTTGCGAATATTTCACAATACAGTGACATGCCCAGTGAACGAGAAGTGTTGATCGAACTAGGTGCGAGTTTTAAAATTCTGAATGTACAGGATGAAGGAGATTTATGTAGAGTCCAAATGGTTAGTATCACGAAAGACCAACAGATCAAGTGTGAATTTATGGACGAAATGGTAAATCAAATATCGACATTAGCATGGACTGAATACTATTTTGGCAACTTAATGATAAAGATAGGACAACCGACAAAAGCTCTTCATTATTTTGAAAATTTAATACGGCGTACAACAAACAATCATAGACAACAATATATTGCTCTCACTGGATTAGCTCATGCAAACGTTTGTGTTGCTGATTACGACTCGGCGTTGAACCATATGCTCACTGCCTATAAACTGTGTAGTCAAACCGAGGAGCATGTTGATTCGGGAGATCTTGCTCAAATATTATATTCACTTGCATATATGTATAGTAAAAGAGGAGACAATGATTTAGCCTACGAATACTACACTCGATCAACACAAACACTACCTGACCAGCAAAAAAATCAAGCAAGAAACCTAATTGGTATGGCTGATGTGAGTTGTCGACAAGAGAAGTATGATGAGGCATTAGCCTTTTATGAATTAGCGCTGGATATTGAAACTAACCTGTATCCTAGAGCGAGTCCTTACATAGCTAGTGATTTATACCATATTGCTCGTTGTCACTACCATACGGGTGACTATGTATCAGCATTGGATTATTTGAAGCAAGCATTAGAAATACAAGAACAAATCCTCCCGAATACTCATGTAGATATCGGATACACAAAAATTTATCTTGGTAAAACATATAGAAAATTACATAATTATGAAATTGCTGAAGAGTATTGTACAGAAGCATTTCTAATTATCGAGAAGTTATCACCATATGACACGGGACAACTTGCCGATTTACATTTTGAGATTGGTATATGTAATGCTGAGAAGAGTGATTATCACTCGTCTGTCTCTCGATATAATCAGGCATTAATATTATATGAAAAACATTTTTCACCTCGTAGCGAAGAATTGGCTCATGTGTATTCTTTTATGGCATCAGCTTATCATCACAGTCAGCAGTATGATCTAGAAATAGAACAATGTCAAAAAGCGTTGATGATTTATCAGCAATTCCAGTCAATAGATACAGCTAAAATAATCCCACTATTATGGAAGCTAGCTATCGTTTACGAGCAGAAACAAGATGAACATTTGATTATAAGAACTTGCCAACAACTTTGTTCTCTCTATGAAGAAGACACATCTGTCGATCTCAATCAACAAACTTTGCTATTCAGAACTATAGGATCGTATTATTATAAATTAGGTAACTATCAGTCAGCTGTTGAGTATTTTCAAAAAGCATTGTTTACACAAGAACAATCGCAAGAAATTCAAACTGCAGAATTACATAACAATTTAGGATGTTGCCTAACAAAACTTGGTCAATATAAAATAGCGATGGAACACTGTAGTCATGCGAAGAATTTACTGAAGAAGCACATTGAAACGAATTGTGAACACTATGGAAATGTTCTCAATAGTGTTGCTCGTATTCATTACGAAACAATGAATTATGATCAAGCCTATGACTATTGTTCAAGATCATTACGTTGTTTCACACATAATGATCATCCTGCTATCATGGAGAATTATGACATAGTAACAAATATCTTAGCAAAGAAAGCTCATGAGCAAAAAAGGAAAAAATATCTATTTATTAAGATGTCCATTGCAGCTGCTTTTGGGCTTCTTATGTTCCAAGTATTAAAAAGATGGTTTAGAAAATAAATGTTGATATTTAGATAAATAATATGAAATAAAATAGCGCCATTAAACTTTCCGTTCTATAATAAACAAAAGTACCTATATAAATCAACGATTGCGCAGAATATATAAGAAGATTAGATGTGCACGATCCTTACAAATGAAAATATCTATGTATAGATATAGCGTATTCTTTTTAGTAATAGTGATGACGTTGAATGCAGTTATATCTGTAGCTGTTATCATCTCATATCTCGATGAAGAAACTCTATTAGGTGGTTCTATTCATGATCTCACGTATCCCCAGTATGTCTAGCTACCATAACCTAGATTTCATCCCCGCTAAGAAAGTTGTCAGACGCCATTGAAATTCTCATGGTTCAAAAATCACGAATTGTGGTGTGGGTATGAAGTAACGGGAGAAATGACACCTGAACCCACGCACGCACACGCATATCTACATCTATCCATCTATATACACACCCACACCCTCAAGTAGTCCATTTCTTACATATAGAGTAATATTTAGTTGTATATGAATTACTTTAAAACGCGTCCCAACGTTAAAATATTGAATGAAAATGTTATAAAATAAGAGAAAAACGCGAATACCCCGTAGTATTGATCGTCATCCAGTTACTATTTTATTTGTACACGTTGGTTTAGAAATGTTAGTCACATGTTTTCGTTATGATTTTTATTTTATTATATATAGACAGATCATCAGCAGAGAAATAGTTTAAGACATAGAATCGAAATATTTTTCGATAAACATACACTTGTTATTTATTGTATGAATTCTGCTAAATCATTCCCGGTGAATACATTGACAAGTTCACTTTTTCGCCGATTTTTTTGTGAAAGGATAAATTATTTAGTGACGTATATTTGTCATTTGAAAATTAAAAAGAATTTCTTTTAATTTTAGAAAAAGAATGTGTGATTACACGTTTGCACATTAAAGATGGACATATTAAAGTGTGGGTGTGAGTGCGACTATCATATGACTTTATCATTCCTTCTGAAGATTACGTTCATGATTTTTTCTTTCAAATCTCCATAATATTGACTTTTATTTTTCTTCTGAAAGGCAATTTGATCTACAAAGACAAACATGAAGAACATGACATATGCTTAGTAATTAAGTATCGTACACAAATATGCCTTACAAAATGAACAGGAATGGATAAAATAACAGTAACTCAATTACTCACTAGTCATAAAATGAAAAAGTGACTAGTGAGTAATTAAATGACTGTTACTCATTCATCTCTAATAAAAATAACCTTGTAAAGTTTGTCTTTATTCTTTTGTTCCTCATTGATATATATATATGTATCTGCTGTTTAATTCATAAGAGAAGAATTCATACGAGATCATTGACGAATTAGATAAAATGAAATCAATTATTTTAGCAAGTGCAATTATTATGGCTTGCTTATCACTTTCATACGGTTATGACTGTCGATGTGCTTGTTGTCTCACTACTATATGGAATTTTAACTGTACACCAGTGAATCAACCAGTGATAGATGTAGCAAATTGTCCTTCATGTATTAAACAATTGTGTACTGATAAATATCCTACACAGTGTCCTGCTGAGAATAGTTTCATTAAAAATTCATGCAATAGTACCCATACAAGTGGATCGTCGTATGGACAACAAATATTAGTACCACTATTAATACTACCGGCGATCTTATCATTTTGTAACATAGCATTTGACAAATTTGCTGATATGAAATAATAATTACAAATATTTTTTTATGTTCTTTCTAAATTTTTGCTTACTCTACCGATAATATTGCTTTGCTAATACTATTGTTTTCGAACAGTTTTAAACTCACACATTTATTATAAGTAATAAAATATCGATAGAGTTACGAAAAACATATAGATGATTTATTTTTAAAACGAGTACGCCATTTTATTGATAATCATGAGAAGATTTACATAGAGAACAAATAATATAGCTTCTGCTATCCACCACACTTATGGAATATATATTAAACCTACTTTATCAACATCTAATAATTGAATTATGTTTTGGTTTATCCAATCTTAAATGATTTACAGTTCTCAAGAGCATTGTGACGGAGAATAACAATATTTTATGTAGATTTGTAGAAAGAACAAACAGAAACAACCTCTTCGGAGTGTAATGATAAATGAGTCATGTTTTAGTCACGTGGTGAAATTACATAAAACAAAAAGAAATATTGTGCAATATTTCGTCTTGATAAAATGAATCACCTGAGGTAAGTAACACTATACGACATATATTTAAACGAAACACCACACATAACACAACTATTGCTAACTTATTTTCAAAATGACATTATCAAATGCGAACACACAAGTAATTATTGATTTGAATAAAATATTAAATTCCAATGATGCAACTGAAATCAAACGAATGCAACAAGAATTTGAATCCAATGGTTGGTGTTTCATCATCTTACCATCAGAACTTATTCCAACATCTGTCTTGACACACGAGCTTTCGGAATTTTTCCAGCAGGCTGATGGAACCAAGCGTAGATATACACAACGCGTACCAATCTATGGTTATTCAAAAGTGGATCATAAAGAAGGAATTAAATTATTGACTGGTAGTTATTATGGTAAATTTGCAAATAAAAGTTTGATACCGAGACAACTTGTTCATCCATTAAACTATCTTTCTCAAGCATTTGATGTTGTCACAAAACGACTTATTGAAATTCTTGATCAACATTGTGTTTTTCAATCACAACCATCCTTATCAACGTTGATCGAAGAGGCGAACTTACCACCGAAAGATGAACATTTCGGTATGCTCGATATCGTCTCTTATTTCAACGATAAAAATGGTTTTCAACCACCAATAAATGGGCAATCAACTGAAGAAGTCAATTGTGTTCCACACTACGATCCTGGACTACTCTCAATCAGTGTCATGTCAACACATGAAGGACTTCAACTGAAAGATATGACTACAAATCAATGGATAGATGGACCTTTACAGCCAAATATTGGTGTTATCTGGTTGGGAGAAGCGGCTGCTCGAGTAACACAGAATCGTTTGAAGCCAGGTATTCATCGAGTCATCTATCCTCAAAAAGCTGAACGTCGACTAACAGTTTGGTATGAAGTGTGTACTATTACACAATTAAAAAATCTAAGTGATGAAAAACAAAACAAAATTATGGCTGATGGAAGTGTAACATTTGATAATCTTCCTGGATCGGATCCCATCACTGTGCGATCTGGTGAAACTAAACTCGAGTTTTTAAGACGGGTTGAAATGGCACGTGGTTTGTCGATGAGTAAATCAGGTCCACCACGATATCAACTTGAAAAACATGATATTTCATATTCAACCAATGATTCGAAAGCTGAATAATCTGTAGGCCTTAATTGATGTGTACTATCCTTTTTTATTATTATTATAAATAAACACTTATTTCTATTAAACAGGTGTCTTTGTTTAATAATATAAGAAGATCTGATGACTAAAAATCTTCAAAATCTTTAACTAGCTTCATTAATAGAATGAGTCTTATTACAAAAGCAATACCGTTTCTTTAACAACGAACCGATTTCAACTGGACACTATTATCATTCATTTCGATTATTTTAAATTTATTGCATTAAAGAAAAAACAAAAACAGAACTTTTTACAAAAAATATTACATTTTCTAAAAATCAAATGTTATTACATAACAAAATGCATGTTAATGATTGTCAATAAGAAATTTTTGTATACGATGATTACTAAAATCAGCGACATATAAATTACCTTGTCGATCCATTGCTAAACCAGTAGGATAATCGAATTGATTTGCTTCTTCACCTTTTTCATTTCCACCAACAAGCACCTGACCTTTTTTCGAATCTTTTGACCAACGTACTATTCGATTATTACCCGAATCGACGACATAAATATTATTTAAATGATCAACCATAACACCTGAAGAATCTTTTAATTGTGTTAAAAGATTTCCTTTACCTTGTCCACCTGCAACAACGATACCTTCTTTTGCATTCTTAATCCATTTCATAACACGATGATTTAAATGATCAGACACATAAATTGATTCATCTTTATCAACGAAGAAATAAATTGGATAATTAAGTTGATTCAATTGATTTCCTTTTCCATTTCCACCGGCAACAATGATTCCTTCTGGATTTTCTGCTGACCATTTTTTTATTTCATTATTAACATAATCAGATACATAAATATTTCCCTGAGTATCTATTTTTAAGCCACCACAATCAATATCATTGATAACTGTTTGTCCATATGCATTAATTTCAAGTGACCATCGTACAACACGTCGATTGTTTAAATCACAAATAAGAATTGAATTTGTTTTTTTATCAAGAATAACATCAGTTGGCCAATCTAATTGATTTAATCCATTGCCTCTTCCATTTCCACCTGCAACAATTTCACCTTGTTTTTCATCAAATTTCCATTTAATAATACGATCATTTCCTGAATCAGCAATATAGATAGTTTGAGTATCATCGTCAATTGAAATTCCAGTTGGATCATATAATTGATTTCCTTCAACAAGTGTAATACCATTTTGCGTCCACTTTGTTTTTAAAGTTATTTGATTATTCGAAGAAATTAATTCTTTTTTATCTTTCGATTGTGGAATCGCTTTCGAATAACTCTTGTGAGTGATTAATAGTAAAACGAATAAGATTGACTATTTAAAAAAAATGATATTTTATATTTATATTCTGAAAAAGTTCTTTGCAATACTTACAATATAGTAATTAAACGACATCTTTTGGTTTGTGTATAAAAGCTTAGTAGATATTTGTCTTTTCTTCCATTTGCATATATATATACGAAGAAATATGCGTTGGTGATACTATATTTAACTTGCGGTTATTCTGTGTGGGTATGTAAATGAGTCATTTGATTCTTTAGAAAGTTCTATGTCGTATAATATTGTCATCAATACATATATTTATGGAAAAGAAATATACGTAAATGATAAAAAAAGAATATATTCGAACTTTACTTTGAATTGATTGATCCTATCTAATGACGAAATATGTCATTATATACTACGTATTTCTAGATATTACGTATATTTATTTATAAAATATAGTACGGATATATTCAAATAATAATGAACATATTTATCCGTCTTTTTTAACTAAATAGAATAAATGATACTATCATGTTTTCTTTATATATGAAAATTTTCTTAAGGATATTCAAGTACAAAAAGAGTACCATGCAATGATCTAAATCTAGTTTGTTTCGATCAGTTATACTTTATTTGTTCAAATAAAGATTATTAGAAAGAGAAAACATAAAAATACAAATGAACAAGGATATGTGTGAGCAATAATAAAGCAGTATAATGAAAAAAACTTCATCTATCGTTACACATTCACATTCTCATAATGATGATAATAATCGATTATGTTGAATTTTAATCTGATTTTTTACCTAGTTTTTGTGAAGCAAGATCAAAGAATTGCGTGACGATTGAAATTCTGTGGGATCCAATTTTAGATCAGCAAATTTTCACTCATCGGTTCAAGACTGAAAAGTACATTTGATGCATATATAATGCTGCATGCAATCTACTTTATTGCATAAAAAGATATACATGAATACACAAACACAATACAATAAATATATGTAGACGTATAAGGGTAACATCAGAATTGAAGAAAAAATAGATTGAATATGCATGTTATGAAGATAAAGTGTTAACAGTCAGCAATAAGCCTCACAGATGAATTAATGTATAAAACGACGTAGTAATTTTGTACAAAGACGACGACTTGTAGAAATGCACTCTTTGCGAAACTTAGCTGATGCTAATGTGTATGTTGCAAATGTGATCTAAAAATTAAGTTCATCCAAGTAGAATGTTTTCTTTCGTTTATTATTTTATTATCTTACCGACGAGAATATATAAATAGGATGAATTGAAACGCCATAAATAAAGCCGTTAATGACTAGTTGATCAGAATTTTTTGTTTGTCCACTAATCGCAAAATCATAGATAACATATACTACAAAACAAATATTTAACAACCCAAATGAAAGACTTTGCATTAAAGCCAATCGAATGAATTTCATATTAGTTTGTTGAATATGTCTGGTGGATGTCTGGTGAGTACTAGCTGTTACTTCAGGTATAACCTGAATACGGCGGCGACTTTGACGAATATTTACAATGATAAGCATGCTAAAAATCTTCATTATGACCATTGGTATTATAACACTCAATCCATTGTAGATACTGAAGAATACACTATAGCTTGAATTCAGATATGCATAACATCGATCAAACTTGATTTCGAATCCGATTGAAGCATGTATACTAAAAATGGCACAAATACAAGTTCCGACTATAATGAGATATCGAGCATTTTTGATAGAACTCATTTTCCGGATGGATTCATTCGATGATGTTACCATCCATCGATCGATCGAAATAAGACAAATAAAATAACGGCCAAGAAGCAATGGAAAATGAACGAAATAAAGACGACATTTGCAAAATATAAGTGATGTAGATTCCAAATTGAAATTAGTTAAAAAAGGAAGACTTCGCGTTAAACCACCTATATCGATAATCAATAAATTGGCTAAGGATAATCCGATGAAATACAAGCCACATATGTTATTTAACTGAGGATTACGTTCAAAGAATAGAATAATATTTGCCAAGTTGCCTAAATTACCAAACATATAAACTGGTACCATAAAATAACCAGTCAAATACGTCTGAATTAGATTGAGCTGACTTCCTAATACTGTTGCCGATGAATTCATTCTTATTTGCGTGAAAACTAAAGTGTAGAAAGTAATAGGATAATATGATTAACTATAAGCGATATATATGTTTGATAAAATGATTATATTAAGATATTTTTAAGATGGTTGTACGATGTTTATTTTGAGTATTTCTAATGTACCTTCATCCTCAAATGTTTACGGGTTGAAAAAAAATATCATCGAGCTATGATAATGCGCTGTACGATTGCTTAGTAAAACTATGTCGCAATTCAATATACATCGATCGTACATTGTACTGTATCGTATCGTATGATATATAGAGCACATTTTACCGTAATCTAGACATGTATTTATATATATATGATGAGGATAAAAAAATATGATGGTATCAGAAATATATGAAGTACTCGTCGGCGTATCAGTTGCAAGTGAAAACGAGCGTAATATATGATAATAGAGATATTAATACGCTTTCCGATTATATAATTATTTTCTATCAATGTAAATCTAACTTATACTTAACGTGAAAGCGAAAAGCATTTGAGGATCAGTTTGAGTCTCGATGGGTGCGTGGATCTTTTTCAATCACTACATTCACGTCAACAACCTCAAGACAGTTTTCATGACGAAAAATAAACTCACTCGATAAAACGCGTTAAAATATCTCACTCGTAAAATCAGTAAAATGTCTAGCTATATATAATAAGTTTTAAGGATGAAAAACAAACTCATTTGACAAGACGCGTTAAAATATCTCACTCGTAAAATCAGTAAAATGTCAAGCTATATATAATAAGTTTTAAGGATGAAAAACAATCTCATTCGATAGGAAGCGTTAAAGCATTTTAGTCGTTAACGACGCTGAAATATCTAACTATAAATAATAAGTTCTGATGAGAAACAAACTCGTTCGATAAGAAGCGTTAATGCATCGCACTGGTTAAAGTCAGTGAAGTGGCTAATTATAAATCATGAGTTTTGATGATGAAAAACAAAACTTATTCGATAAGACGCGTTAAAACATCTCACTCGTAAAGTACCTGAAATATCTAATTATAAATAATAAATTTTAAGGATGAAAAACAATGTCATTTGATAAGAAGCGTTAAAGCATTTTAGTCGTTAACGATAGTGAAATATCTAACTAGAAATTGTAAGTTTCGATGATGAGAAACAAACTCATTTGATAACACGCGTTACACCAACTTGATGGTGTTGGTCTGCGTGGCTGTGGGTATAGCTATAGATTTACACCCTGGCTGGTATCCGCACTCAAACTCATACTCTCAAGATTTTATTCAAAAGATAGTATTTAAATTATTATTCTACTGAAAATCTTTTATGTTATCTAAATAAAAAGGAGACAATATGAACAAGTTGACCATCTACTTGACGTTTTTTCAACATAAACTATTGAACTAAATTTAGGATAAAAATTCATGTTTAATTGTTTTATAATAAATGAAGCATAGCTATATCAGAAATGTCTTTAATATTTTGTAGCTCTTAATGATCTGTATCTACACTGAAAAATGACACTATTCCAATAACGTCAAGCTATGATTACGAATAGCACCAGAATGCAATGTCTATCAGAAATTCGTTAATAGCAGATTGAGAGGAAATTTTTTAAAATAGACTTCACAGAGTTGACAAAAATGATATAATTGAGTCAAAAGTAGTGTTATCTGAAAGTGAGGAGTATGACTCTCAATTTGAGAATGAATAGACATGGAATCTTCCATGAGGATCGTTTTGTAAATAAATCGTCTCCATTGATCTGCATTCTTATACTTGTACTGCTTCGATTAATCATCTCTCGTTCACTATACAAGACAACATGTCGTCACCAATGACATCATAAAAACTTTCTTGCTCGAACAATACAAATAGAAATCAGTGTATAATATTTAGAGTTATTTATCAACTGATTCTTCACATGAATTGATATGTAAAATGAATCGATAAAAAATGAATAATTGTATAAAAATAAATAAATGTATCAGTCAATTCAATATGTTAATTTCATAAAAAGATATTTCTTTGTTGAGAACTTTCTTATCAAATCATTTTAGAATAAAATTTAATATGAAAATGAGTAATAATGAATATATAGAAGAAATCTAATAAGAATGTTTTCATTAAACCATGGAATACTTTCAAATATTCAAAAACAAATATTTTTTTCTAATTTATTTTAACTATAACAATGACGACGTTTCATTCTTGAATGTACCGTAATCAGACATTTATTTTTCAAAAAGTACGATATGCGCGTGATATTTTTCAACAAAACAAATACATTCTATTCTGATCGAAATTAAAGAAACAATATAAAATACGAAAACCAACTTTTTTTTCTTATTCATACAA